TAACCCCTGCCACAGGGTCCTCCACACTGCCCAGCCACAGGGGGGATGCTGCTCCCTGTGGCTAACACTTGCCCCCAAGGATCCCCCACACCGCTTGGCCAGAGGGCTCTCTGCTTCCTGTAGGTCACACCTACACCGAGAACTTAAAAACAAATAGTCTAGCGGCACCTTAAAGACTCACAAAACATGGTCTCATGAGCTTCCTGGGTACAACCCACTTCTTCAGATGAATGGAGTATTAAAAGTCCAGTTCCAAAATAAATGGGGATGGGGAGAGAGAAGGAAGGAATTTTTTTTTTAAATAGTGAATTAGAGTATTCATGGTACATGAAGTTGATAAAGTGCAAATTGTTCTTAAGTACCCATTGGTTGGTTGGTTATTAGGATGTGGAAGGTTGTGTGTTAGCCAGATAATGTCTTTGTTCATACCTTTCTGATGGATCCCAAACTTGTAAATCAAGTTAAGTTCCAACGCTTCCCTGTGTATTCAGCTTGTGGAATTGGCCTGAAACAACACTGAGTGACTTTGTGATACATTAATGAGTATCCAGGCAGGTTAAAGTGTTTTCCAACAGGTTTCTGCATGTTGCCTTTTCAGATATCTGATTTGTATCCATTGATTCTTTCCTGTAGAGCAGGGTTCCCCAACCTATTGGTCGGGACCCAAATATGGGTCGCCATTACATTTCAAAAGGGTCACCAGGTGTCTCCCCAGTTCGCTCTTAAGGAACCATTCATACATTTTTTGAATTGCCCTGGGTCACCATGTCTTCCTTAGTGGTCAAAATGGGTCCCCATCTGGAAAAGGTTGGGAACCACTGCCATAGACTCTCCAGTTTGACCAGTGTAAATGGCAGAGGGGCATTGCTGGCATAGATCACATTAGTGGATGTTCAGTTAAATGAGCCTTTGATGTAGTAGCTGATGTGGTTGCGTCCAGTGATAAAATCGCTTGTGTAGATGTGTGGACAGAGTTGGCACTAGGGCTGATTGCAGTGGCGGGTTCCTAGATTATTATGATGGAGGTGTGCGGCATGGTTACTGGAAATAACTTGTTCAAGGTTAGCAGATTGGCTGTAGGTGAGGACCTTTCCCCCAAGGCCTATGAGAGTGAGGGGTCATTTTCCAGGATAGGTTGTACATGGTTCATAATGCATTGGAGGGGTTTAAGTTGTGGGCTGTAGGTGATAAGTGGATTTCTGTTTTCTCTGCTTGGCCTGTCTTGAAGTAGTTCATGTCTGGGTACTCTTCTGGCTCCGTTGATCAGTTTCTTCACTTCTCCAGGTGGGTATTTCAGTTTTAAGAACGCTCTATATAGATCCCTACACCAAGGCTCCCCCACACCACCTGGCCAGAGGCCTCTCTACTTCCTGTAGATAACACCTACGCCAAAGCTCCTCTGCATGACCCACCTCCAGGGCTCTCTGCTCCCTGTAGGTAACACCTGCCCCTGGACTCCCCCACACTGCCAGGTCACAGGAGCCTTGGCTCTCTGTGGCTAACAGGTGCCCCAGGGATCCCACACATCCCCTAGCCAGAGGGTTCTCTGCTCTCTGTGGCTAACACCTGCTACAGAGCTCCCCACACCACCCTGCCACAGGTCTCTGCTGCCTGTAGCTTTCTAGCTCCTGCATTTGCTGCAGGACTTTCCTCACCAAGCCTATGCAGAGCCTCATTCGCCTCACAGTTTCAGCTCTTCACACTGTTCAACCTCAGGGCTCCTGCTGCTCTACATGGGTGAGTCCCAATAGGTTTCACTGGGGCTGCCTAGCACGGCTAGTGTGAGACTTACTAGAGCCCAGGGCAGAAAGCCAAAACCACACTGTGCAGGACTACAGCCTGGGGACCTGAACCTGGGGCTGAAGACAGAGCCTTCCTGAGCAACTTAGTTAGTTTCATAGTGCCCCCTGTGCTATGGGGTCAAGGTAGCTGCCCGACTTGGTGCTCCTTACACTGGCTCCGGCTTTCATAAGAAAAGTGTTGTGGCCCAGCTGTGCCATGGAGTTTTATAGCACGTTGGGGGTGGGGGCTCAGTAGGAAAAAGGTTGAGAATTTCTTCTTTATACCTAATAATATGGAGATATACTATCTCATAGAACTGGAAGGGACCTTGAGAGGTCATTGAGTCCAGTCCCCTGCCCTCACAGCAGGACCAAGTACCATCCCTTTGTCCAAAATGTACCATCCCAAGTACAATCCCTATGTCCAAAATGTACCATCCCAAGTACCATCCTTATGTCCAGGTACCTATGTCCAAAACATGGCATCCCTCCCTCCCTTTGCAGCTTCAATCCCTGCAATCTTCTATGTCTCCTCTTTGCCTCCTTCCCCCTCCCTGTGTAGACCAGCCATAGCACCTCGAACACCACATCCTCAGTAAGGATACTCTTAGCTTTACCCAGCAGACAGCAGGGCTGTCCTCATTGTTATCCTTCTGTAGCAGCTGAGATCTCTGTTGTACCCCAGCAGGCAGCAAGGCTGGCCACAACAGCATCCAGCACAGCCCAGTGGCATGCAAGTAACAGGGCCCTTCCTATTCTATCTTCAGTCTTCAACCCTGTTGTGTGCCTAGCTAATAACCCTCCTACACCTCACAATGTCTAACCACAGCCAGCACCAAGCAAGCAATAGTGCCAGACCACAAGGTTTGCCCCAGTCTGCATTTTCTTTCCACCACCAAACTATACTTTTTATTTGCAATTGCTGTAACCATCCGTGTATCCTCTACACCATTCAGCTGATTAGCAGAGCACCCACAGCTATGTTTTTTGTTTCTGCTAGTGGTGCACATTTGCACATACCTCAGCACACAAACAAATTTGTTCTGCACCTGGATGGAACAGATTAGAGAGAACATTGGTACCCACACTCCAGTTTTGTTTGGTACAAAGCATGGAGCTGGGCCTAATCCACTTTGTACTCTCTCACATATCTCATAACTCAGTGTTTCAGCTATATTACATTCATTTTCCAGGGAGACTGAGAAGTAAGAACTCTGCAGAATCCAAATCACCTCAGTAACAGTATTTCCAACACTGGTAGTTAGGAGTAGCTCTATTCAAGTCAACTGAGTTATCCCAGTGTAAAAGAGAACAGAATCAGGCCCCAGGCATGCACATCTCTTAGGCCAGGTCTATGCTACAGAATTGACTTAAATTATGTCCATCATAAATCATTGTAATTGTGCATGTTCACACCACACTCCTTGTGTGAGCGGAGTGCATCCACAGTGGGTGCTTCAGAATTAATAGATGGAATTATGTTATGTTGGTAGCGACCCCACTGTGCAAATTTTGGAGCCAGTGCAGAGCTTGTAGGGGAAGAGGGGTGGCTAGGTAAGGCCAGGGGCTGCTACATCCAGGGCTGGAGGCTGGGGACTGCTAGAGCTCCAGCACTGAGCCCACAGGGGAGCCTGCTGGGGGATGGAGCTGGGGGATGCAGGAGCTGGGCACAAGGCTGAGAGGTGCCGGGGTTTGGGGAAGAGGCATCGGAAGCTCTGGCTCAGGATGGCTGGGGGATAGTGATGAAATGTCAAGGGGATTAGGGATGTTAGATATCATGTAACTGAATAGTCGTATAACCACATGAAATTTTACCAGTTACATAACTATTCAATAGTTTGTGGGGAGGGGCCAGCAGCCAATGCACTCCTGGTCCCACTCCTGAGGAGCCCCCCGCCAACCTGCAGTGCTGCCTCTGTGTCAGAGGCAGCAGCGAGGGATGTTAAGCGGGAACCAGTCTGCAAGGGGAACTAGTTTGAAAACCAGCTCCCTGCACAGACCGGCTGCCTGCCCCCTTGTGCTGCTGCCTCTGATACAGAATCAGCAGCACAGGATGACAGCAGCCCCTTCCCACAGGGGTCTGAGATCCCCATGGACATAGGCAGCAGCACAGGGTGAGGGAGTGGGAGGGCAGGGAAGGCTGTCACAAAGCATCCTCTGTTCACAGGGGGCCTGAGCTCCCTGTGGACAGAGGCTGCTCCCCATTCCATAGAGTAGCAGTCCCTGTCCGTGGGAGGGTTCCACCTTCTGCCGTCATTGGCCACTGGATCCCCTCACTCACCTCTGGCGGGCCAACATCTGGCAAGGAAGGGTCTGGCCAGCTGCAGAATCCACCACTACTGATGCGGGGGGGAGACAGAAAATAAGGGACAATTTGCCTCTTTAAGAAAAAGTCAGGACAGTTGCAGGAGGGCTTAAATACAAGACTGTACAGGCCATCCTCACTATAAGTCCAAGATACGTTCCATAAACTTGGACTTATAGCAAAACAACTTAAAGCAGGAGATTTTTTTTCCTGTAGCTAACTTCCAGTTGCACAAAATGGGGGCAGGGAGGAGGTTGCGCAATTTAAGAGCAGAGAATGAGAGGATTTAGAACGCATCAGTTCCTACAAGCATCAATTACTTTAGTGTGGAACAGATGCATACCAAGGCGATTTATAGTAGGGATGCCCTGTGCCTTAAAAATGGGACATCTGATCACCCTTCTTACAAAGCCTTACACCGAAAACCTTGACAGCAGCAAGGAGCGCTTCAACAACAGGCTCAGCACATGCAAGAGGCCTGTAAAATGTGTGCTTGGCAGATAAAAGGGTCACTGGTGCTGTCTTTTTGGCAGGTGAGACCTCAATAATGAAAATATTCCCATGGTCATAGCAGCCTGCTGTGCTCTGCATAACATTTGTGACACCAAGGGAGTAAGTTTCTGGGCAGCCAGCAGAGGAGACATGGGCAGGAGCAGATTCTAAAACTCATGGAGGATTAAACAGAGGTGCACAGGTCCCTGATTCCATTGCAGGTGAAAAACATGCATACTTGACTTACCCCTGCAGCCCATACAGAACTGCATTGCATGCAGTTGAAGTGGATCATCTGGTGGATTTTGAACATCCAGACAACACAGCTATTAGAGGGATTAAAGGGGGAGGGGAAGCAGGATGCCTATTTGAATCAGGGAAGCTTTGAAACAGAATTTTCAAAGTGAGATCCATGGACAGTCTTTCTATAATGCACTAAGCTAGAAACTATTTACTTGTCACTTTGAATGACCCTTGTAATGATTCCTGCCTGAGCATTAATTGTAATCTGCTATTGTGCTACCTGCCACTGTGTATACATTTCTGCTACAACCACCTTGTATGTTTCAAATAAAGAATCAATGTCTTTAAGATTAATTTTTTCTTAAACAGCAATACACAGATGAACATTTTTTACAAGGAGTACGACAGTGAGCAGCACTCCGTGAAATGAGGATTTCATAGCTGTGTGTAAGTCCAGCTGCTCTTATGGAAAATATCTCTGGGAAGGAGTGCAAGAGGTACTGCAACAGATTGGAAATGGGGAGTTTGGGGAGGGCATGGATTGCAGTTCTATATGGGCTGCAAGGGGAAGTCAAGTATGCATGTTTTCCACCTGAAATGGAATCAGGAACCTGTGCACCATTGTTTAATCCTCCATGAGTTTTAGCAGCTGCTCCTCCCAAGTCTCTTCTCCTGACTGCCCAGTTGTGTCTTTTAGGGTTTTTGTGTGTGTTTTGTTTCCTGTCTCTCTCTAGAGTTTGTGCTTGCTATTGGCTTGATCAGATGGTTGCAGCATTTCTCAAACACATGTTTTGTACTCCTCAGTCACCTCTTTACCTGACAGAGGCACTATGTCAATGTGTAGGAGCTGTCTCTGAAGGACATAGCTGCAGAAGCAGAAAAAAAAAGGCAAATAAAATCTAGAGGGAAGAATATGGGTGCACTCAGTCTTGAATAATAAAAGTTACATACGCTTTTTTTCTCACTTTCCTTTAGTGCACTGGCCATGCTGTGTGCTCACAAAATATAGTAAACTAGCTCAAGTTACCCGGCACTGCTTGGAAACCGGAGGAACAAAATGTAGAAAAATGTAGTCTGCAGAAGCGAAGAGTGAGGGGGGATTTGAGAGCAGCCTTCAACTTCCTGAAAGAAGGTTCCAAAAAGGATGGAGAAAGGCTGTTCTCAGTAGTGACTGATGGCAGATCAAGGAGCAATGGTCTCAAGTTGTGGTGGGAGAGGTCCAGGTTGGATATTAGGAAAAACTATTTCACTAGGTCTGTGTCTAGACTGCAGGGTTTTGGTTTTTTTTAAAGTAGCCTTTTTTCGAAAAAACTTCACCTGTGTCTAGACTACAGCCGTGTTCTTTCAAAATTAAATCGAAAGAACGCGGCTTTTCTTTCAACGGCGGTACTCCTCATTTCACAAGGAAGAACGCCTTTTTTCGAAAGTGCTCTTTCGAAAAAAGGCATTTCGAAAAAACTTCACCTGTGTCTAGACTACAGCCGTGTTCTTTCAAAATTAAATCGAAAGAACGCGGCTTTTCTTTCAACGGCGGTACTCCTCATTTCACAAGGAAGAACGCCTTTTTTCGAAAGTGCTCTTTCGAAAAAAGGCATTCTTGAATGCAAACAGGACTTTTTTGAAAGAGAGCATCCAGATTGCCTGGGTGCTCCCTTTCGAAAAAGCAGCTCACTTTTTCAAAAGAAGAGGTTGCAGTCTAGCTGCTCTTTTTCAAAAGAAGCTTTTTCAAAAGTATCTTTCGAAAAATCCTCTTTCAAAAGAGGCTTGCAGTCTAGACATAGCCTAGGAGAGTGGCCTTTTTTTGAATGGTAGAAAAGTTGCACTGATTTTTATAGGGATTAAAATATAGGTCCGTGTCATCCCTGGAGGGAAGGGGTGTGAACCCTGTTGGAGGGAAGGTTACACGCAGGAGGGGCTGCAGGTACTGCAGGGGGCAGGGCAGGTGCCCGAGGGGTCACTTATGTACCCTCGTGGCTGGGAGGAGGCGAGTCCCAGACGGCACTGGGGGCCACAGGCGGTGGGCACAGGACCTAGGGTGGGCAGGACGGTCCCTGCAGCGCAGCGTGGTGGGTTACTTTTTGATTTTTACAGCTTGAACTTGAGCCTGATCAGGTCCAAAAGTACCTTAAAACCTTATCCTGGATGAAAGGTTATCCTATGCAAAGTTTGGTTGCGGTAGCTCTTATAGTGTCCAAGTTATTAGTGCACAAACTTACAAACATTCTCCTTTATATA